GGAGCCATAACTGGGCACCCAAAATATGCTGCAGTTGCTGCAGTTGAAGGCCAGATTAGCTCTGTACAGAGACAGCGGGGAACACGCACTCACTCACCCACTCACTCACTCATGCATGCAAGTAAGTTATGGCATGATTTAAGGGGTCGAGCAAATAAGCTTTGGTCTGTAGGTAGAAACTGTCTCACATTTTCACAATTTGATTAAAATGTTCAAATTTGTGGGCATTTTTACATTAGTAACATGTTATTAACAGTTAATGACTGTTTTTGGTCTTGACTGTCAATGTGTGGCAGCTGCGATATTTTTTATTGGCACAGGAATGCACCATGAATGTCGTAAGATGTTCACATCACTGTGTAATGGCAAATTCAGTTTCGGCAAAAGACATAAAATGACATTGCAGAGAGCTAAGAGACACAAAATCCAGGAAACATAGTTATCCGAGACAGTCCAGAGACTTTAATCATTGAAATGTGAACAGATTGTTCAGAATGGATCCTGTTATAAAATGTTCATACAGTTTACAGTGATCTTATTTGCTGTGCTCTGACTGAGAGCTGTATATTATCCTCCATTTGAAACCCGTGAAGAAGAGCCTGAAGCTGGTATTACCCCGTCCCACGGCTGTTCTTGACAATCCTTTAATTGTGTGCTCATATAAACAGTAAACACCCGTCATCATTATGAGTCAGGTCTTTAGTGCGCTGACTGGTCTACCGTGTTCCACCATGTAGCTCATCTGAAGCTATTAACCATCAGTGTTTCAAAACATCACCGAGGTCCAAAGCTTTCTGTCCACGTAACGGAGAAAGAAGATGCGGCTCCAACATGTAATGTAATTCTCAAGTATTATGAACTTTTCAAGCAGAGCTGGGGATTCATTATGACTTCCCTGTTCCCAGTTTAATATCAGACAATCAAGGTATTTCCTGGAATCTGATTGGATCTGTTTTTCATTGTCATAGATAGCAAAATTGCAATGTTATTGGTTCTGTTAAAACAGCTATTTCATCGCATTCTTTAGGCAATATGACCGAATTAGCTGTTACAGAATTATTTAGAGTTGGTTTTGACTTTAAGAACGTTCAGGAAGAATAATTGTACAATGTGAACACATAAAACATTTACTGTGAATGGTTCACGCCTTGTCTTGTTTGAGGTGGTCGGGTCAGGTGGCTCCTTGCCAAGTCAGACAGATTGCCTTTGTCTGACTTTTATAACATTTTTATTTAACATGCTCATTCGCGTGCCTGACCATCTAAAAGTCCTTTGCACATTGCCTCTAAAATCTGGTCATGTGTGACGCGGTTGAGGCTGTTAGAAAAACCAACACATTGCAATGTGCACTGAGATATGCAGCGGCACCACTCGACAAGCCCACAGTCCCCACATGGGTATCAGCTGCCTCACATCAACCTACTGTAATGACACACATGTGCCTGGTTAATATGAACCCAACAATACGTCCTGCTGCGCTCCATCCACCTCTCTGTACATTTAGATTTTAGCAGTCAGAGCAAAGTATTTGTCTACAAAGATTTCTTGTATCTCCACTGCTTATGAAGGAACCCGTTCTACAGAAACATCTCCTCAGGTCTAGCTTTATTGTGAAGTTGTCGGACTCTGATTGGCGCTGAACACCTTCGTTTTTATATTTCCCAGGTCCACAAATAGGTCAGAGGTCAGGGTCAACTACAGGATCAGCGCCCTACATTCTCGCAGCCCTCCCTTTTGTACCAGCTCAGATCAAAACGTAGATTATTGTCTTTCATCTCTAATGTCTCTCCCTCGTCTTAAAAAACTAATACTGTATTATATTATTCTTGAGGTGCAGTAGTCATCTTGAGGGTATCAGGTGCTCTGTGTGGCCCTTTCCTAATGAGCCACATGTGACCAGTTAGGAGGGCCCATCTGATCTTCCCATTCGCCTCATTACGGCCCAATACATATTAATGTCCAGGGTCACATCTTATACATACAACATACATATTCATAGCACACATGCAGTCATGTATGTATCTTAATGGCACGGACATGACGGGTTTACTGGTGATATTTGGTTCTTTTGATCTCTGTTGTGTTTTACGATGGCCAGCTGTGTACCGCTCTTCTTTTGTGTTCAGTTTTGTCACGTCCTGCACTTTAAAGATCTTCAGGCACTGGACGTGATGTTTTTGTCGGCATTATTTTAGTCGTCTTATACTATATGGGTTTAGAATGAATCACGTCTCTTTGAATGATACTTTGGCATATTTTTGTTTTGGTCATTTTTAGATCATGCTTAATGTACGTAGGTTTTGACAAACTTAACAGGACATCCCTTTTTTTACTAAAATATGTCCTCATCTGTAGGAATTCCACGACAAACCATATCATCAATATCAACTATTAGTAAGTATTAGACAAGCAGATGGGTCTGCAGTCATGGTAATCCATTACAACCTTTATCTAACTACTATGACAGTTATGTTACTGTGAGCTGCTTCTCGCGCTCCCTCCTTACATTTAAATCCCTGTTTGACCTTCAATTTGTCCTCTATAAGTGCAATTCTGCTCTTTATTTTTCTCTGTTTTGCTCTCTGTCTTTGCTCTTTCCTCCGTCCCCCCCCTCCGGTCCTTCTGTTTCCCATCCTTTATCCTCCTCTGTGTCTCTGGCAGTTTTTGTTTACAAACCCTTTCATCTGGATAATGCTTTTTATGTAAAAACCTCTCTATTTGAATGGAGTTTTATTTAAAACCCTGTCATTTAAATAGTTCTTTAAAGACAGAGGAATGAAAAGTCAACAAGGACCCTTCGATTGTGTTTTGTGGCAGGACTCACACACACGCACACACACACATCCTGACACACTGCCTGGCTGTCTACATGCATGCAAGTCCATTATTATGCTAATGAGTCTCCAGTCTCCACATGTCCCCACACAATCTAACGCGCACGCACGCACACAAACACGCACACACACATACATTTCGCTTTGCTCAGCAGTATAGCTGCACTCATAGGCCAGCAAGAAAAATAACGAGGAGTGGACAATTTCATCATCATAGAAATAGAGCAGACAGAGCTGGTATTTGCTGGTGCGTCATCGATCAGGACAAAGCGACAATGATTGAGAGAATCACACTCATCCCCGTCGATAGACTTTTCAATACCTTGTTGCTCATGCAGAGCAGGATTCTGACCATGACTACTTTATGCTTTATTGAGGTTTGGTAGTCCACGTTGTCATGGTTTCAATAATAATTCACATGGCCAGTATTGTGGAACGGTGGTATTCTGATAAAAAAACGCTCACTGTCGTTTGGAGCAGTGAAAGGAACGCCCGTCTGCCGCGTTAAAGCCCGACGTCTAGTTGTACCATCCAGCCTTTCCGAACTCCTCCCTTTGCAGAGTTTGTGATAATGTCACATGACTTCCTCCTCCGCTCTAGTTACAATAATCGCCAGGGGGCTTTGTCACTTCAGCGTAAACACATGTCATTTTGGGGACGAAACGACTGATGGCGGCGTCCTTTGTGGGAGGACACGCCTGCCTTTCGGTGCTGTGCATGGAGCTTACAAACGGAGAGGGTTTATGGAAGCAGTGAGAGTTGACTGTAGTTTCTGTGTGGGCCGCAAATCCACAAACATAAGCTAAAAGCCACTAAAGGGGCTTTTAAGCATTGGGGTGGAGAGTCAAATGTTGATTCTCAGTGATTTTGGTTCTAAAAACTAAAAATCTCATTCAACATACAGGATAAAAGGATAAGCAACAGGGATTTTTTTTTACCTAAAACCAAGTCAAATGGAAATGTGAAGCACTGGTGTGATTCATGGAAAATGCTGTTTTCGTGCAGCTTTCGGGCCCCAGATTGCATTCTCAAACTGATAGTGCTGGTATCTAATATTGTACACTCCATCTGAGACACGAAACCCCTTCAGTGCATCAACACATGAATAAAGCAGCAACAGTAAGTGACCACCAAGAAAACCAACAGACTGATAAAAGCAATGCCCTCAACACACACACACACACACACACACACACACACAAACACACAAGTCTTAATAAAGAGATACACCCCCCCACCATACACACACAGACACACAGACATACTCACTCTGTCTCTAAAACATTTATCAATGAAGTATAAAAAATAGGTTAACTGCAAGGACCTTACTGAATAGAACTTACATAATTTTACACGTCACTGCATTACATCACACACCATCATCTTGCTAGCCAGGATGTGTGTGAATGGGGGTAGGGCTGTGCATGCGTGTGTGTGAGTGTGTGCGTGCATCGTTGTCTACTGGCTGGAAGAGAGACGTCTTCCTTTTTGTGTGTGTGTGTGTGTGTGTGTGTAAACACCAAAACAGTGCATGATCATTCTGCATCGTGCCCCCTGCCCTATGACACACAAAACAGCATTGTGTAACTCAAAGTCCTAAAGCCCATCTCTCTCTCTCTTTCTCTCTCTCTTACCATTCAGTAAAAACACCTTCACCTCTGTTACATTA